CATAGTCCCATTGAGCTTCCTGGATTGAAGCAATTATCTGTATCAGAGGTACAGGCAGATGGCTACAATGACAGTCTGCAGGAGACTGACATTGTACCTGCGATCTTCTGATCTTTATGCTGATCTGAATACTTTCCAGGCTCCTAAGTAAAAAAAAAAAAAAAATAGTGAAGGCTAATTTTTTTTTTTTCTAACTGCAAAAAATGTGCATTTATATTTATTTTAAGGTGAACTCCTTTTTAAGGATAACTGTATTTGCCATTCTGGTGAAATGCCCGAGGATTTGCAGGTAACCACGACTGATACCACGGTTATTCTAGTTTCTACACTACTTTACCCACAGAACAATATTTGTGTAAGAAGTAACAAACATATCTGCAGTATACCCTGCTATTTAAAATGGAATTTCGGATAAACATCTAAACACACGTTTATCTATGGAATCAGTCTTATGATTTACATACTGTTTCCTGGTACACCTCCATACTAATTGGACTGCAGGGATAATGTTGGTTCATTGCCCAGTAAGTAGCTGGAGGCAGGAAGCTGCAGTGCTGGACCAGGAATTGGTGGTTATAAAGGCTTTTTTTTTCTTAAAATAATAAACGTTATACTTATCTGTACTGTGCAATGTTATTGCAGAGAGTGCCCCCAAACCTCTGCTTTTGGGGTCCCCTGCCTGCGCTTTTGGCTCTTCCTCTTCTGTGCCTGCCAGCATCGCAAGACACTTACTATGGTGGTAGACGTGCAGGCTTGCTCCCAAGCGGGTTGTTTTGTCCATAGACGCACACAGTGTGGTTTGGCCCCGCTCTCTGCTCACAGGATTTGAGTGAACACAACATGAGGCAATGCCTGTGAGTGGGGAAAGGGGGGAGAGTTGGTATAGACTAGCACTACGCTGGATTGAGTGAGAACTCAGAAAAGTAGGGGGTTAATACAAATGAGGCTTTTTTTTTTTTTTTTTTTTTTTACCTTGCAGAGAATGCATTTAAGTTAAAACATGTCTTGGCTTTAGAAGCACTTTAAATGTTGCCCACCTTTCTTATGCGGTGTGGTAGAGTTGCATAAATCACTAGATTTGCTGTACAACATTTTAGACACTTTGGCAGATAACGCAGTAAACATATATGTATTCCAGCTGTTTTATATATAGTTGTTTGTGTGTAGTTCTATTCAATGGCGAAATACATCTAGTAAAGTAAAAGCTAGGTAACATGGCTTGTACATGGCTTTGAAAGCTGGCAATATAGTCTGTTACTTCTACATTCCTACATCTTTAAAGTGGTTATGAAGGCTTTTTTTTCATTAAAATAAAAAAATGTTATACTTGCCTGCTCTGTGCAATGGTATTGCAGTGCCATCCCTCCTCTTCTGGCACTTTTTTAAAAACATTTTTTTTTAGTTGCTTTCTGGCTTATGCCAGAATCATCTCGTATAGAAATCATGGGCATTGGTAGGAGAAGGAGTTTTATTACGAAGCACACACTCCTGCCTGCATGCCTGAGGTAAGGGCAGCTGGATTCTAGGAAGTAAATGCTATACGTATCAACTGCCCTTAAACAAGATGGCTACAGCAAGACATGCTAGGGGGTGTTTGATTTCCTAAAGCCGTAATAAACTTTAAAAAAAGAAAGTTGGGCCTGTGTGGGATGATGTAATAACATGATAGTATGCATCGCATACTAGCACATTATGACAGACTTAAGCCTAGTACACATGCGCCGAATGTCTGGTGGCATCAGCTGGTTCAGTAGAAACCAGCCGACAGTCGGCCCATGCGGGCTGTTTGGCTGGATTCTGTCAAAGGGGCATGACCAAAAAAAATCTCTGCAGAACAGCTCCCGATCAGTGCTCTCAGCCAATGGCTGAGAGTGCTGACTATAGTGTTCTGGCAGGAGGGCTGTCCCCCCTGTCAGAACACAGTAGCACAGCGGGGGGATTCCTGTACTAATATCGGATTGTCAGTACAGCTGTTCCTCCTAAGCTGTCCGTTTTTTTTTTTTGTTTTTTTTTTCCATCTCGAAAAAAAAAAAAGTAGTGTGTACTAGGCTTTACCTTACAGTGAAGCCCTCCAGTGGCATGCTGTCGCTGTTGACAGGGCTTCCATCTTCGATTGGTCTTTTTTCTGGTTTCATGGGCTCTGGCCATTTGAATTGCTGAGCCGTGATGACATCACTCTCCTGTATGTCCGTGGGAGTCACAGCTGTGGCACAGCTTTCTCAATGGATGGCATCCTGTTCATTGGGAGTGCAGTGTGCATGTACCCGTGACATTCCCAGTTCCTACTAAAGTAAATATCTCCTAAACTGTGTACCTTTTTTAGGAGGTATTTACTGTATCTACTGGTAAGCTTTATTATAGGCTTACCTAATAGGTATAAATCAGTCTTTACTACTTTTTTTAATAAAACAAATCTTGGAGACATGGGTGGATCGGTGAGTTTGCTTGGCATATTAAAAATGAAGTAGATGGTGTTTTTCAGTTTGTGGCGCTCAGATCC